TACACCTAGAGATACCTGGACTCGAGCCCATACAGGCCACCCTCGCGTGGACCTGGGCCTCATGCGGTCGAACCAGGCGGGCGTCGGCGCGCGTCGCGACACCGCTCGACCGCCTACTCGGCGTGACGCAGCACCTCTTCAGCTGCTACTGCGTGTACCGCATCCTCGCGACGACGGTGACGACGCTGCGCCGCGCTCACGCGCCGGCCGCCGCCTTCAGCGCCTCGGACCCCATCAACCGCGTCCTCGGCCTGCTGGCGCGCCACTGGGACCCCAAGCTCGACCAGCTCGCCTGGGCCCGCACCATCAGCTTCCTGCTGAGCGGCGTCATGCTCGCCGCCAGCGCCGGCTCCGCCACCCAGACCTTCCACCTCTTCGCCCGCTGGACCCCGGGCCTGCTGCGCCAGGCCCAGGCCAACCTCGCCCTGCTGACCGGCCAGATTGCCGCCGTCTACGTCGTCAGCGCCGCCCTGCTGCTGCGCTCCAACCTGCCGCGCGACGTCGGCTCCGCCGTCGGCGACGCCCTCAAGAGCGCCCTCGACCCGGCCTTTGTCGACCGCTGGTTCGAGGGCTGGTTCCTCGTCAGCAGCGCCGCCACGGCTGTGGGCATCTGGGTCGGCCGGAAGATCGCCGGCGACGGCGAGGACTGGATCGACGATTATGGCGGCGAGGAGGTCGGCCAGAAGCGGTCGTGACGTTTTGCATGTACTCGGTATGACGTCTGCTGTTGCGCACGTTACTATGATGGACGTCTGCTGTTGAGTTTGTTAATATGATGATAGACGCCTGCTGTCGAGTATGTTCACATGATGACGTTGTTCGCTGTGAGGCATGCGTTGATTTCATGAGGGGACTGTCCGCTGTATAGTGTGTGAATACGACGACGCAAGTTGCAGGGTGCGTTGCTGTGCTATGAGATACTCTTCAAAGTCGGCTTCACTGCCGAATGGTCCGGTTGCAAGTGGTGTTTCCAGTTCAAGACGATGCAGAGTGAGGTGGCAGAAGTCTGACTACCCTTGCATGGACCAGCACTGACGCGAGGGCTAGTGTGAAGGTCACAACCCCCTTGGCCGAAATCCATCGACGAAAGACGATCGAATCATTATGTGAAATTGTGTATATGGACTCGGAAACAGCAACCAATGGACTGCTTTATCAGAGGAAACGAAACTTACCCAGAAAACGCCTTGCTGCTTGGCTCTTAGCCTCCATATCTGCCGACATTCCGATGTCTTCGATCGTATAGAGTAGGGGCCTCAAAAGGACATGCTCTGGGCTAAGTGCTGCCTCTCCTATTTCGAAGGCCTGCCGGAGAAGGCCTCTACCTGCTGCCATTGGCAAACCCCGAACCCATGCAAGCCCATAATTTTGGCATAAGTCTTGTGACCTACGCCCATCTCTGGTCGTTGAATCAGGTATTGAAGTAGGGCCTCTACTTCTTGAAATCTGTCGTGCAGACCCAATGTTAGTCCGAGGCTGCATGACAACCTCAGAAGTTGCAGCTCCTCTCGTGGGCCGAGTGTGTCTCGGTGCTGCACATCCTTCCGAAGGACAAACCTCGGCTTCTTGGTGCTTGCCCTGACACTTCAAGACCAGCGACAGCAATCCCAGGGCTTGAAGTGCATATTTCTGCCAGGCGTACCTGTCCAGGTCAAGTCCAGGTATAAGCCGAATTACGTCTTCGGCTTCCCTGAAGTTGTGTTGTGTCGACAATCCGGCAGCAAGATCGAAATGGACAGATAAATTCGCCATTTTGTTCGATTCTGGCGTCGCCTCGGAGAATGCAAGCGCTCGGCGGTTGCCTTCGTCGGCCACTTCGTACCTGCCCCTGGGCTTGAAGCGACGCATTGAGATTTAGGAAGCAAAACAGCGTTCTTTCGTCATCCAGGTGCCGAGCCTCACTGAACCACTCCAGCGCAAAGCGCAGATTCTTCTCTGCCTCTGAGGACTGTTTCGCGCTAAGCAGTGATGTGCTCAGAAGATAGATACGTTGGACTGTCGGGCTGTGGGTGGGACCCAGAACCCTCCTCCGTATTCCAACAGTCTTTCGTAGCATCATCACTCTTCTCTGGCACACGCCCATTTGGACTTGGTAGACATCCGCTTTGCTGAGAACATTTGCCATGCTCTTGTCTAGAAAGGCACCCACTGTATGCCGCTCGTCTTTGAACAGGCCCGGGTGTTGGTCTAGCACATCGCATGTATGCAAATTTCCTCCCATCTCGGCGTCGGGATACTTGCTGGACATGGTGTCGAAGAACAAACACTGCGCTGGCTGCTTCCTGTCTTTTGACTTGAGCCACTCTTGAATGCAGAACTGGACCATCGAGTGCATGTCAGATACGTCCTTGCTCACGTCCACCCCGATCAGCGAGTATCCCGTGAGACGGGTCAACTCATCTTCGACAACGGGTGAGGCTTCTGAGGAGGAACTGCTGCTGGCTGTCGCTGAAAACTGGTTTTCTTGAGGCTTCTCTGGCACGTAGTGCTGTAGAATCCAGATCGGAATGTTCTGAGCACTGGAATGAAGAAGTTCATGAGCGCAAGACGATATGCTGCCGGATATGTTGCTGTCAGGACCCCTGCGGAGCCACCAAGGGCCTGCCAAGCTAGGGGGCTGGTCAGGGGCTAAGGGTCACGAGAGGACGTATATATAGGCTGCGGAGCCTCCCCCCCCCCCCGCGAAAAGCTGCGGAGGGCTAGAATTCAGATGTATTCCTATCCCATACCTATATTCTAACTACCTGCGGACCCTGTGGAAGTACTGTTGGGGTCAGTCTGATGGCCTCGTATAGACGAGGTGGCACATTGACCCGATACCGCAAGGGCCGATAAGCGCAGCACGGTACGGCGGCACAACGAGTCGCTCCGCCAGCCAGCTGGAGATTGTCGGTCTGTTGACAAAAATTGCGTCTGGATGGAATGGAATTATCCTGACTGGTGTAGTACGCTGAGGGACTGTCGCAAGGTTATTTGAAATGGACATCGAGGCTGCCAGCCTCTGACGTGCCAGCAAAAACCTTACGTCCGGATATCGGACCGCCCGAACGATGGCCCAACAACAGGTCAAAAATCAGTATTTATTGATGATCATGTCAAGTGCAGAGAATGAGGTCGTTGACTCTAAAGGAGACTACTTGATGATCTACACGTAGGAAGGCAAGAGATCATCATAGAAGAGCGAGGAAGTAGGGTAAGGTTAGCAATGATTCATATTGTAGTTTCGGTGTGACAGCACCTTGGGTTCAGGAAACTTGATTGATTGGGCAAACGAGGAGAGGTATCTATTTAAGGTGGATGGATGTGGAATAAGTCGACCATATCTGTTCGTCCATCCAAAATGCCACTTCTTGAGTCTATGATTTTACCGTGGCTTGGATCACCCACCTCGCGATCGAGGCCGAGGCGGCATCTCATATGCTCGACGGTCTGCATCCCGGACGGTTCGCTTTCTCGCCACGCTGCCTACCGGCCAAGAATACGGCGCAGGATCCCGCGGCCGCCATTGCCAGCCAGACCAAGTCGTTTTCCCCTGACATCTGGTTCAAACTTCTCGTTGAGGTGGCGGCGGGTCTCCCGAATCTCGCTCGAGCCCCGCCGCAAGACAATTGTCTTGGGGATGGGCTGGTTGCGGTTGCCAATGCCGAGACCCGGGGGTCGTCGCCTACGATCTGGGCAAAGACACTGGTGGAGACGTGGAGCTATTGCACTCTGGACACGTAGTCGCCGGTACGGATAACCCCATGCTGTCAGCAATCACGAGCATAAACTTTCACATGCCATACGACAGCCAGATCCTTCTCCGACAACTTGTTTCTTTGCCAAAAAAAAAAAAAAGAAAAGAAAAGAAAAAAAAAATTGAAAGCAAAGCGCACATTCGTCGACCTCGGCCAGGACAAGGAGAATCTCTATGGCACTGACGATGATGGCAAGATGATCGAAGTGCACCGCCAACTGAGACCAGAGGCACATCGTGTCCACGTCCGGTACGAGTTGATCGGCTAGGAGGAAAAGCTGATGAAGAATGCCCGCAACAGAAATCGCCTCCGCTACAGGTTCGACCTCATCGGGGTCAAGATGGAGGCGGCCGGCACCATGAACCGGTTCCCCATCATCGTGATCCGCGGCGCGTGCGACTATGCCGACGAGCACAAGAACAAAGAATGGCAGCCGTACGCGGCGGCCATGGCAGCGGCGTAGGCAAAGGCCATCTCCCTGGAGATCACTCCCAAGCGGACCACGCCTAGACAGACCTCCGCCGAGGGTGGGTCTGGATCGGCGACGGGCCGATCCGGCGGCCCCGTGTTTCACGGCCCAACCTCTGGTCGTAATGTCGTGGCCGGCATGTCGACATCGGGGAACACGAATTAGACAGTCAACTAGGGGTGTGGTAGAACGATGTTATCAGTTTTCATTTGGGAGGCGGACAACTGATGGATAATACTTGTGATGGGTGCTGTGCGGCCTCTTCTTCCCAGCCTCAGCGACCGTCGCAGGACGCAGCGAGCTCGGCACGCATGACTCGTCTCTTTTAGAGTTCATCTCTGTTTATTTAAGCTCATTGTTTATCAAGACAGCAACGATGTTTCCTACTTTATCTCGCAATGCATAACACCATTGCTCGTGACCCTACAATTTGGGCAATCCAAAATTCCAACGCTTGCAGACCAGACTCCCAGCGCCCGGGTAATTTCCAAATCCATGACCAACCAGGGGTCGTCTTTTACAGTACCGACTCGCGAACCCTGGCTCCCTTTTCCCTACCGTCAACATCCTGCCTCACAGCGAGTTCAAACTCGGTCCTGACCACGATGCCATCCCCACTTGACAAGCTGATATCGTCCTTATGCATCCTCTCAACGTTGCTGACGGGACCGTTGATGTTCTCCTGACTGTCAAGCCCCGTGTGTGTATTCCTCAGCGAACGAAGCTTCGTGTCACGCTGACCTCTAGAGCCGCCTCCACTGTTGCCGCTCTCGTTTTGGTAGTAAGCACGGTCGGTCGACCCGCTGATGTCCTTGCGCAGGATGAAGCGATCAAAGACAGGCTTGATGCCGGGAATGGAGAGCGCGATGAGGGTGGCGCCGATCTCTGCAACCTCAACAATGAGCATCGGGTTGTAGGCCCACGACATATCGGGCTCCCACTGGCCTTGGATGACAAGGGCGAGGCGGGCACTGGAAATGGCGATGACACTGGAAACTGTCAGCCGACGATCCGAGGCTTAAGATGTTCTTACCAATAGGGGGCAAGGGCTCGCGACTTACAGAATACCAGGCAGCAAGATACAGGCCAGCTGGATCTTCTGCTTGCGTTGCATACGCAACATCCTGAGCATGGCGATGGGGATGCCAAATAACAGAAAGTCGCAAAACAGCGAGATGACCGAGTTGACACTGTACACAATGCCCCAGGCAAGACATGAATATTTTTCGACGCCCGGCTGCCAGTCGTAGGGCCACAGGGCCGTTACGGGCAGGCAGTGAAAGATGATGAGGCACATCTGGGGCAGGTAGCCCGCGACAAGAACGCCGGCGGTGACGCGAATGGCGATCATGAACCTGTTATGCTGGCTGCAAAGACGGTGGTAGAATGCCAGGCCTGAAATGCGACAGACTAGGAGGGACGTTGTGTAGATGAGATGGGCAACGAAGTCGAGTACCTCGGACTGCTCGACAACGGGCATGGTCATGACATGCTGAATATATTCGTAGTGCCGTCCGGAGCCGATCTGGATGAGCTTGATGCAGAGGCCGACAAAAGGGGCGTATAGTAAGAGAGATAAAGCAGCCAGGGCGTCGTCGAAGCCTAAGAGTTTGACCATGAAGCCTCTCGATAGGAGACGGATGATGACAATGATGGAAGAGGCAGCGAAGATGAAGGCGATGGCGGCAATGGCAGAACCGTCACGGCTTTCATTGAGAAAGTCCTTGGTGATGCCCTCTGGCACGCGGCCATCGCGGAAGGCCTGATCGACGAGGGGGTCGCCCATGTTGGCGGGCCGAGGGTGATCCTCCTGTCAAGATGGAAGATATGGGTATGTTTTTCTTCTCCTCTGCAGTCAAGTGTAGGTAGAGAGGAGGGATCGCAGGAGGAGGGGTGTGGATGTGTCTGTGGGACTAAAGGAGGGCGGATCGATCCGGAGCCAAGAGATTCCAACGGTCGTCTTATAAGATGATATAGCAAAATCGATCAGACGGCGCAGTCGCGAGGCGTCAGATACGCCGGGTGGCTTGCCGTTTTCATATTGAGTTTACTGGGGGTTTGTCTGAAAGTGAAGTCTGGAATATTGCGCCAGGCTGATGAATAGAGAGAACAATTCGGGGGCAGAGGGCAACAGGGAGCAGGAACAAAGGAGACGTAGGCCTCGAGAAAAGGGGCCCAGTCTAGGCTTGAGGCAGGCGTGGAGGACAAGACTAGACAACAGACAGAGACAGTATGGGGCAAGGATGTCATGTGAAACAGGGCTCTGGCTAGACGGGCAAGAAGGCCAGAGTTTGTTGTAAACCTGCAAACCGCGACGCCATATCGCGGAACATCAGTCGACCGTTGACGAATGCGGTGGGTTGTGGCGTTTTGTTAGGAGCCTCCAGGCTGAGGCTAGAGACGTAACCACGAACCTTACAGTGAACTCGGCGGTGCTCGAGTGGGGCCATGAAAAAAAGGCAGCACCTCCAGGGCAAGGACGGCAGAGGAGGGCAAGGACAGACGGAAGCGGCCGGAGCAGATGCCGTTCAGTTGGTGCTGAGGGTTGCCCAGCGAGCTGATTTAGCACGTCTCTTTGCAGGCGGTGGCTTGACTCGCTGCCAGGGACGGCCCTGAAGGCGCTCGAGGTGCTTTGCCTAAACTTGGAGGCTTGACCCTTCTCAAAGGCACTGACACTGGGCTTGGCTTGACCTAGCGGCACTGTACCCGGCACACTGGCATGGAGTTCGCTGCAGGGCATCGATCTGTGAGGTAAAGTACCTACTACAGCGGACGGCTGGTGGGGGTGTGCCAGGGTAAGCGAGCGACGGCGAATGGGGCCGCGCGGAACAATTTGCGATCCCATCCGGCTGGTGG